TTTCGGTGCACCTCTTGTATCGGTGCATCCCTAATTTACACTAACATGGAATCGTGGTGCTGGTGACATCTGTATTGGAGTTCTGTTGTGAGCGGCGCCATCCCCAGTCATTACGAGCACCTGTTACTTTTGGGATATCGGGTAATGGGTGCGGCAAAGTATATGGATATTGCTTTATATAGTATATTTCTGGGGACCTGTGGCACACTGGCAAGTTGTGATTAACTCCAAATATATGCATAATGTATACTTTACCAAAAAATTGCCACGAGGTGCTACAGTGTTCGGGTTTGGCTTGATGAAAAGGTGGCAACCCTAACTTTAGGCCTTGTTCACACCAATCGCGGAGCAGAGCAGTTGCAGACCGGATCAAAACTGCGTCCAATGGTATTTTTTGCTTCAGTTCACATCGCAGCGTGCAGGTCCAGAGCAGGCGAAAAAACTGCAGCAGGCCCTATTTTACCTGCTCTGGATCTGCAAATGCCTGGAACGCACTGAACGCCCATGTTAAACTAAAAAATATATATATATTTTTTTAACCAAAAACGGCACAACCCACTGCACTGCGTGTGCAGAAACCTGAGCGGATCTGCTCTGCATTTGGTGTGAACAAGGCCTAAAAGATGGGAAGTTCGGATCTTTCAAATGAATCGGTTCATTTGAATCAGTTCATTCATAAGAACCGATTCATGAATCGAATATTTGGTTCACTTGCTGAGTCGGCTGACAAGCAAGTGAACCGAAGCTCAGGAGCTGTCTGACCCTTCATAAAAGATGTGATTCAGAGAAGGGGGGCAGCTCCTGCGGATCAGTGCCTTTGCTCAGAGAGGTCACACAGTTTTGGTTTTGTCAGACCAGCCATTGTATCAGCCAAAGTCGTCTCTTCTGGTGACTTGTGATCAGGTGTGACAGTAAAAGGCGTGTTATTGCGCATGCGCTCCGCTTTCTAATGAGCTGATGTCACATTGGTCAGATTTGTCCCTAGTCTTACAGCGCAATAACGATTGGATTTACTACCACGGGTGTCCTATCGTTATTCCCACCCGTGCGCTGTAAAGACCAGGCACAAATCTGACTACCAATGTGACATCAGATCAGAATGAGGAGCGCATGCGCAGGAACAGGCTTTTTTTTTTTTTACTCTCAGCTGATCGCGCGTCACTAGAAGGGATGACATTGGGTGATGTGATACAATGGCTGGTCTGACATAAAACCAAACTTGTGACCTCTCTGAGCCAAGTCACTGATCACTAGAACGATCCCCAGGAGCTGCCCCCCTTCTCTGAATCAGAGTCTTCTGATTCAGATCTTTTATGAAGAGTCAGACAGCTCCTGAACTTCGGTTAATTTGCGACTCAGCAAGTGAGCCGAAGATCCAATTCATTTGAAGATCCAAACTTCCCTTCTGACTCACGTGTCTTAGACTTCACAGATGTGATTGGTTGCAGGGAGAGGGTGGGCGGGGCTGGCAGAAGCTGAGCTCTGCTCTAGAATCATATTACAATGCTGATCTCCTATTAATTCTACACTGAGCTGCTTCACACGAATCAGCTCACTCAGAGGAGTCGGACCCATCCGTATCAGTGAAGAGAATTGATTCAAAAGAACGATTCGTTCAGGAATTGGACATCGCTAGTACCTTATAGAAATTTGTAATTCCCGAGACTGTGGGCGGGGCATTGGGCAGATGTGTCCAAATTGTGCTTTTTAGAAAGTGGGAGGGGCTTAGGTTCATGTCTACAGAATGGTGGATAGGTGGGCTCTAGATGCACTGTGTGTACACTATTACACTGACACTGTCATGTTAGTAGAATGGTGGATAGTTGAGAGCCAGGTACACACACACACCCCAACCATTTCAGTGACACTGCCTACATACACATACACATACATATATACATACAAACACTTACCCCTTGGGTGGCATGGCTAGTCTCCAGTACCCCAGGAAATCCTGGTGGGGGCAGCGGCGTCCAACAATACTGAGAACACCTCTTTGTTCCTCTTTCCTGTGCAGGGACAAGGTCATCTGGTTCCCACGGTAAAGATGTCAAAGTGCTCCCCCCCAAGCATTGGTGTCAGTGGGTGCAAAAATAACCCCCAACGTTGGTTTCAGTGGGTGCAAAAATAACCCCCATGGTTGGTGTCAGTTGCATTATTAATTAACCCCCAACATTAGTGTCAGTGGACACAATAATAACCTCCGACATTGGTGTCAGTGGCATTATTAATTAACCCCCAACATTGGTGTCAGTGGACGTAATAATAACCCCCAACATTGGTATCAATGGACGTAATAATTACCCCCAACATTGATGTCAGTGGACGTAATAATAACTCCCAACATTGGTGTCAGTTGACACAATAATAACCTTCAACATTGGTGTCAGTGACATTAATTAACCCCTTCCTCCAACCTGAATTGGTGGGTGGTCAGTGTAAATTTTCAAAAAGACTGACCACCCACCCATGCAAGGGGGGAAGGGGTTAATTAAACCCCTTGCACTGGCTCTGCTTTTGTTTTGTTTTTTCATGCCATGCGTCTCCTCCCAAAGTGCAGAGATATAAGCATTCTGGTAATGACCCGGCAACCAGATCAAACATTCTGGTATTGTCAAATCCATTTCGGTAAGTTCCCAGCTGTGGGGAGTGCACACCCTCTCTCTCCTCCCATCACCACTGGCGCACACCATTACCAATGCACACGTACCACACAGATCTGTCTGTTACAAAGTGTGGGTGGAGCTGGTCCTATGTAGCTCCAGCTATGGCTGCATGCAGAGTGGCCGGATAGGGTCCTTGTGGGGGGGAGTGCGTGGGCAGAAATTTCCCAGCGTCATTCAACCTGAAAGACTGAGAAATACACGGGCATCATGGCCCTGCTTCCTTTTGTAACCTTTGTCAAGTCCTTGATGTCTGTATCCACCTCAAGGAGAATTCCCTGGACAGGTCATGAGGTAATTCTCAAGGAGGGTACAGAGAGCAGTAAAATCCTGACAGACACTAAACCTTCCCCTATTCTATCTAAAGCTAAACAAAAGAATTTTAGCTGATCCTGTATTTCTACTTTTTGCAGTCAAAATTTGAGAACACCCCCACTATATATACTATATGTACGCAGTAAGCTAACCCCAGAACAGGAGCTTACACAGAATGGCGCAGTGCGATGCAATAAACCTCGCTGCAAAACTTTGACAACATATATGTGACAAGAAAACAGCGATTCACAATAACAAAACGTACACCGTTAAAGGAGAACTATGAGGTGAGTGATTTCCACTCATCCTCATAGTTAGAGCTGACTTGTGACAAAGAAGCTGTCACAGGTCGGCTCTATCGATCGGGAAGTAAACATGCACCGATCTGCTCACTTCCCGATCTGTCAGTCACCGCTCCCCTAAGGGATTCCCCTCTCCCTTATACCCCGCCATATACTGAGCTTTGGGTCACGGAAGGAGGTTTAGTATATGTCCTCCCGTGGCCCTAAGAACTATGGGAAAAATACTTACCCCATAGTTCTCTTTTAAGGGATCATACTCGTGCACATCTGCTAACTTGGTGTAGATGATACAGTGTTCAACATGTGACAAAGGTTGTTACACTGGGGAAACTGGCATTAAGCTGCATCTCCGGATGAACCTGCACAGAAGCTCAATTAATAACCACAAGGAAAACAAACTTTGCACCCCAATAGAACATCACTTCTCCCAGATAGATCACTCCGTCCAAAACCTCAATAATAAACTACTGAAAGGGAATTCCAAAAACCCTCATAAAAGGAAAACATTTGAGATGAAAATGATTATACATTCTAGCACCATGACGGAGGGACTTAATGTTGATTCTGGTTTCCTGACAGACTACCAGAACTTTTTATGAATATAGAAAACATCATTTATATATACAGAACATCATAATATTCATGCATGTTGAGTCCACCGGTCATCTTTTGTTTATTTTCGGATTATCTCCGTTTTTTTTTTTTTGTTTTTTTTCTATTTTTTATTTATTTTTTACTCTTAAATCTCCCGCCGGTCCCGCCCCCCTGCGACGCGAACGCTCGCAAGGGACGGAGTTCTGACCTGAAAAAGAGAGGTTAACTCTCGAAAGCTTGTCTTTTAAATATTATGTTAATCCAATAACAAAGGTATCATTGCATACTGCAATACTTTGATTTAATTTTTTTGGCATCATATACGTACATTTGCTGCAGGAGGTGCGTTGCGGTGCCGTTCATTTAAAAGAATCCAAATGCACCTCCCGTCCGCAGTGTAATCGCCTGCACTGGAGCGTGTGGTACTGCAATAACCTGCGTTCCAGTGCAATGTGATTTCAAAAATTGTGCTTACCTTTTTAAGTAAACTTTATGTCTGTAACGCTGCATTTGTGTATTTCATTTTAAATAAATGACGGTATTATTTTTTTTTTTTCTTCGATCAATCAAAGTTAACAATCTGCTAACTAATCGATTATGAAAATAATCGTTGGCTGCAGCCCTAGTCCTTTGACCAGACTTGATGTTATATTTTTGTTACACTTATGATTTATACAGAATTATTTTTCCCCTACGTTCCTTACTTTGTAAGGCCAAAGGGAAAAAGCTGTTTTAAAATGAAGACAAATGATTATTTATTATTATCAAACATAACCTTCTGCCGCTAGGGATTTGGCCGAAGTCCACATTGCTTTGTGCAGCAAACTCCAGAGCCTTGCCCTTCTCAAAATCCCCAATGTAAAGAGAAAAGTCTGCAGGATGACTTAATCAGTTGGTTGGTTTGTTTAGGCTCTTAAATGATGGGAATGAAGAAGTAAATATTTACCATAGTTCTTTATTTTAATTTGTTCAGATTGCCTTGAAATGCTTTCCCTTTCATTCAGCTTATCATAGGCACTACACGGATTATAATGTGTGAGTATAGATAGTTTTTGAATATCATGTCAACTGTGCCTATGGTAAAGTGACTGTATATTGCCCTTTTAAATTTTACAGAAACGGACCCTCACAAAGATGTCTTGAACAACAAGAAAATAAAAATCCATGAAATATCTGACTTCAAAGGGGTGACAGGTAATTCCAGCACAAACATGTGTGTTGCAGGACTGTATTTGAGCTATATAGCTAAAGCTGGTACTACAAATATGTGTTTAAAGGAGAACTATGGGGTTAAGGCTTTTCCCCATAATTCTCCTTAGGGTAACGGGAGGACAAACTAGCGTCCTCCCGTCACCCTAGTCTCAGTATACCGTGAGCTGTAGCCTATCTAGAGGCAGAGCCAGCTTTTCCAGCCCCTCCACTGTCATGGCAGAGAGCCGTGACAGGATCGAGAGGTGAGCGAACGCCGGTATGTGTTCGCTCACCTCCCGATCTACTGAACCGACCTGTGACAGTCTCATTGTCACAGGTCGGCTAGAACTATGAGGTGAGTGAAAAGCACTCACCTCATAGTTCTCCTTTTTAAACACATGAAAATGGAGAGCAGCATGTCTCTGCTAGATGGATAATCATCCTGTTTTTTTTTTTGCTGTTATTAATGAAGACTTTCTAATATCTAACTTTATCTTTGTATTTTAGCTTGTCCAAGGATATGTCGATATGTTGTAAAGGTGATGGTGCAAACCATCCAGCTCTTTTGGACACTTATGAAAATTGATCCGCCATCTTTTATCCTTCTTCAGGTAAAAGTGATGGAACATTTTCACTTTTTGCAGCTAAATATATCACAATATTCTGTTAAATCTATATACTGTATGTAGATATACACAAGAAACAAATGAATGCAACTCTGTATTCATACACCATTTAATGTATTCCTCTAAATTAAACCGGGTATCAGATTCTTGGAATCCCTAATACAGCAACATTCGACCTCACAGGACTTTTGTTTGTATCTGGGGATTCCTGTGACAGGAATCCCAGGTGGGTCTGAACAGATGTGGCTGTTGTTCCCATTCAGGTTTTCTACAGGGTAACAGCAGTAACAGTATGTCCGTGGCTGTCTGCATGTAATCATATATGGAATGATTAATTACCTGCGGACTGGGAAAGATACTTATCCCTGGAGGCAATCTCTCTGTGTTCAGGGACAATCCCTTTCCCGAGTTGAAGATAATCATACCATGTAGGTTTACATGTGAAAAGCCATGGACAAATGCAACCGCCGTCACCCTGTCATACAGAAATAATTTCTTGGCCTGGTAAAATAAGTTGCACAAATGTATTTCATCTATATGTGCAGGGCACAATGAAATCATGTATGAAGGAATTTTGGAGTGGAACATACTGCCCAATGTCTGAAAATTCTGTCTCAGTGACAGGTCATGGGTCCTCCAACAGGATAATGACCCAAAACACAGAGCTAAAAGCACCAGCAAATGGCTGAGAACAAAACACTGGACTATTCTGAATTGGAACATCTATATGAAGAGCTGAAACATTCGGTCTGGAAAATGCAAATTTTAAACCTGAGCCGTTTGGAGCAGATAATCGTACGATTATCGTAAGGTGTGTGGAAGCCGTGCAACCTCTACTACTGTAAGGTCGCACGACTTTAAACTTACGGACATGTTTCAAAACCCGCCGAGCATCGTACGATGTTCGGCGGGTGTGTAGCATGTTCGTGAGATAAAAGCCGGACGGGCCGGTGTGCGCAAGCAAGCGCACACTGCCCGTTCGGCATTGTGGTCATCGGAAGCCCGCCCCCTCAGGGGGCGTGGTTTGCGATCATCGCAAGTACAATCTGCCTATGCAAGATAGGCAGATCGTAAGTTTTTTTTAAGTACCTTACAACCATCGTAAGACAAAAGTCTTACGATGGTTGTAAGGTGTGTGCCCAGCCTTAGAGCTACAGAAAATGCTAGTTTGCAGTGAATACCTCCAAAAGGTTGTTCAAAATGTTAGGTTAAGGGTCCCTTTTTGTTTTGTTCATGCCATTTTTGTATTTGTTTTATTATTTAGAATATGCTGTTGAATCAAAGTTCAAAAGCAAAGTCTGATTTTTATTAAATCTGGAATAAACAATAATGGATGCCAATTACTTTTGCTCAGTTTGAAATTATTTCAGAGAATATCATGGGTTCCCTTCTTCTGCTTTCTTCTCTTTTTTTTTTTTTTTGGGCAAGGGTACCAAAAAATGTGTCCACATCTGGTAATATAGACACAGTCTCAGGGCTTATCTGTTTTCTGTCATTTAAGGTAGAATCCACCAGGTTTACCCAGCATTGCAGTGACATGGGCGTTTTGCTGTCTTAGAAGATGCAAGCTAATAATTGACTGGCACAATTATGGGTATTCAATCATGAGTCTGACACACAGACCTGGACATCCGGTTCTGCTCATTGCAAAATGGTTTGTATATTTTCTAACCTATTTTGAATGTAGGGCAGATCATTGCCGAAATAATGTTAACTAAAGGGATGTACCAATAACGGTATTTTGGTATCGAGTATGTGTGTGTGTGAGTGTATATATACACTATATATATATTATACTATACTATATAGTATATAGCCGGGGCGGCGAGTCATCACATGCCACCCAGCTTCCTTAACAAGACTTCCGGTATCGACGAGTCCTGAAAAAAAAAAATATAATTCCTGATTAGCTGGTGACAAGGAAGTAGGAAGCCGGGGGGGAGCGTAATGATTCGCCACCTGGCTTCCTGATACCAGAAGAGCATTACTACTGTTTGTAGTATATATATATATATATATATATATATATACACAAATGAGGAAGCCGGGGCGGCGAGTCATCACATGCCACCCAGCTTCCTTAATAAGACTTCCGGTATCGGCGAGTCCTGAAAAAAAAAAATATAATTCCTGATTAGCTGGTGACAAGGAAGTAGGAAGCCGGGGGGGAGCGTAATGATTCGCCACCTGGCTTCCTGATACCAGAAGAGCATTACTACTGTAGTATCAGTGCATCCCTAGTTAACTATATGCACAACTTTGTACAACAAGCACCATTTTAATTATTGTAAAAGTGAACATAATGGGACTAGTATATTTTTAAAGAAAAACTATAATATAATATGTTATTATAAATGTTTTTTACAATACGTATGAACCAGCATTATTATCTTTTACAATATTTTATATTTACCGGATTTAAAAAGGGAAAAAAATTCCTAATCATAATAAATAAGCTATGTATGAAACCGCTATACTATATGTTCCCTTTTAATGGGAGCTGTAGAACTCAAGCCAAAACTGCTTATTTTTGAGCTACTTTTTAAGATGATATATTTTGCTGTATCCATTTTGTTTCTACTGCAGGTATGAGAAAACATTTGGACAACTTTCAAATTACAACTTCTGTGTAACAAATGCAATGAAAGACGATTTAAGGCTTAACTGGAGGATAAAGTAAGTCTGCAGAACAGATGAATATGATTTTTGCTGCTTAAAATGTAAACGATTATATGCATAAATATATTCTAAGTTCAGACAACTGTAGTTTTTGGTACCCCCCCCCCCCTGCTTTCACCTGCCACCTAGCTTCCGCAGCTGACAGGTGAAAGCAGCCGGGAGCAATAGCTAGACTGCTATTGCAATAGCCAATAGCAGGCTGGCTATTGAAGCTCTGCCCACTGAGCACGAGTGGACCTAAGAGAGAAAGTTCTCTCTCAGGCCTACTTCCCCACCCCCATGCCTGCTGCCCTGTTGGCATGCCAGTCTACCCACTCATCCCATTCCTGCTTTGGCGGCTGCTGCTGAAATCATCAGTTTGACAGCCAGAATCCACTTTGTGCTTCATGAGCCACTAATGGCAGCTTGTATGTCAATACATTCATAAATACATTGAAACTATTCTTTTCTGATTATGCATAAAGGGATTTTCCTTTGATCTGCATATATTGTCAGTTGCAGCATACCTGAAATTGTAAAAAAGAAAAGTAAAAATCATCTTCTGGGACTGCAGCTTCTTCCACAATTTGCTGCAGGCAGTAGTGGACTTGGCTACTGCTTGTTGAACCAAGGTTGTACGTCGTTGTTGTCTTATCAGCCAATTTGCTGCTTCTCCATCGTAGACAAATCTTACTGTACCCCTAACAACTTCATCACCTTGTTGCAAGAGTTAAAGAAGAACACCAGGGGAAAAAATTATTAACCCATTGCAGTGGGGGCTACTCCTGCACTGCAAGGGTTAACTGCTTGTTTGTGTCTAGGTGCTAAAAAAAAACCCAACAAGTTATACTAACCTGATTATTACAGCCGGCTTGCTTTTCTTTGATAAGACAGCACATGTTGACAAGTAAACACCTCTGTTAACTGTTTTGCCTTTGACAGTGGGGAAAATTAATAGAAATGTACCCTTTATGCTATAAATGGGTCTGGTTCATTCCTGCTGTCTATATTCAGTGTAATCAATTATTTCTTAGGAAATATTGTATTATTTCCTATTAGTTCATTGATGACTAGGAATGATGCGGTGATTTCCCTAATGCACCCGATCTCCAGTTATAGATAATTGTACATTTCCAATGATGACATTGCAGGGACCATAATTTGGGAGGCTGACACTTATTTGTTACACATGTGTTCTGCTACTGCTTTAATGGTCTGTTTTATGTTTGCCTTTCAAACCCAGGTTTTTTTTTTTTTTTTTATATTTTATCCTGTTTTTATTGCAGAGCTATTACTCTGCATGATAAACCTGCTTCAATATTCAAAGAGACTCCAGTTGAGCTACAGCATCAGTTATTTATGAAGCTAGCCAAAGACTATGCTCCATTTAGAGCTCAGTAAGTATGGTAAAAAGACTGAAGTACAAATTTATATATAATTTTTATTGACAAATTAGGACTGCATTAGATTATACATGCATAAAACACCACAAAATACATACCGTCCTACACTTAAACAGGCTTACATACTGGGACTTCTATATAATTATTGGAGGATATTGACTCTCTTGTCTGCAACAACTAGGGCTGCAACAAATGATTGTCAGGGACCAGAACACCTCCAGGTGGTGCTGGAGCAGATCCTGCAGTTCCAGTGCTCCCCTGCAGGTGTCAGCAATTAGTCCCCACCTGGTGCTGATCTGGGAAGGTATTTAATCCCTCCCTAAAGTGAGGCTGGTGCCACAGTATTGTTGCCTTAACCTGTATCCTGTTTCCTGTATCCAATTTGCTGTATCCTGCCCTTTTACCTTTTGTGTGCGATTTTGTTGTTTGCATTTCGTTGGCTATTATTTGTTACTTGTGGGTATTGGTGGGGTTGCTTGTGGTTACTTGTTTTCGGTGTGTCTAATAAACTGTAAGCTCATTTAGCATTGTCTGGTGTGGTCACACATTTGGTCCTCCTGTATAGATACCTGTATGCGGTGTGAGGACACCCGTGCACGGTATCCTGACATATTATTTTCATAATCGATTAGTTGGCCGATTTTTTTATTTATTTATTTTTTCCAATTTAATTGATCATTTAAAAAAAAAAAGAAATACCATCTTTTATTTAAAATGACCTACACAAATGGAGTGTTATAAGTTATTAATTCAGAATAAAACTGCATGCATATTTTTTGTAATCGGAATGACCGCTGCCTACTGAGGCAGCTGAATGTAAACACAGCAGGCAGTGGCTGGGAGCAATAGCCAGCCTCCTATTGGCTATTTTAAATTGAAATACCCAATAGCAGGCTGGCTAATGCTCCACCCACTGCCTCATGTCACTCACAGATGAGTGGACCTGAGAAAACTTTCTCTCTCAGGTCCGCTCCTCTGCAATAGCCATTGGCTATTTTAAATTACAATAGCTAATAACAGAATGGCTATTGCTCCGCTCACTGCCTGCTGTCAATCAGCGAAGGATGGACCTGAAGGAGAAAGTTCTCCTTTAGGTGGTCCTCTGCTGATGGGCAGTAGACAGGTGCAATAGCCAACCTGTTATTGCAATTTAAAATAGCCAATAGCAGGCTGGCTATTTCTCTCAGGCTGGCTATTTTCTCGGACTCTGGGGGTGTGTGCAGGGGCTACCGACGGCAGAAGAGGGGGCACAGAGCCAGCAGAGGAGGAGCGGGACACGGCAGCAGCGAGGGGAATGCAGAAGCACAGCGGTTTCTACTCCCGCTGTGTGGCGGCTGCAGCGCTCTGTGTCCCCTCTGATTTGAAGGGTACACAGACTACAGCATGCAGCGGCTCCCAGCGAGGAGGAGAATGGAGGTGCAGAGTGGCGGTGGCAGCAGGAGGTGTCTCAACTAATCGGTAATGAGAATCGTTGACAACGATTCTTATTATCATCAATGAAATCGATTAGTTGTTGCAGCCCTAACAACAACTGTAAGTAAAAACATTGGATTCAACTTGGCACAAGGTACCTGCAAATTACTATACACATGTGTCATATGAGAAAACCTAGAACTTTATTCTAATTGTATATATGTTGTAGTAGTTGTCTACCAAATCTCAGGTTATGGGCAGTCCATAGGTTAGCTTATCTATGTGTTTTCTTGATCATTTTTTTCCCCCCCATTTTAAAAATGAATATATCTTTTACATTCAGATCAAAATATGACGAGTCAGAAGTTGAAAAGTCTGTATTCACAGAATTAAACAGAAAGAGCAACATTGTTAAATACCATGTAGGAAGACCTGCACTGCTAATCAGCAGCACAAGCTGGACAGGTATTGTGCTTTTTTATAGTTCTGTTCGGAGCCAAAATACCATCACTGTGACTGAAAGTGGCTGACCTCATAAAACTAGTTATCTCTAAAGGAATTGTACATAATTTTGCTTATATTGTACTGATAGACCTAGGGGTCTTACCCAAAATTCACATGTTTTTCTAACTGGATTCAGTTGAAAAATGTGTGAATCCTTGATGAACCTTGTATGACTCTTGTCACATTTATAAATGGAGATCCCTTAGCATCATCACTTAGTGTCAATATTTTCTGATATGCATACAGAGGTTTGAATAAGGTAGCTTAAAAAGATATTCTACCAGCTGTTTGGACCTTGTAGTTATGGATTGTATACATAGGAGGGAGCATATAGCTGGACTCTGCCTGGCTTCCTGAATGGTCAGGAAGCCGGGCAGTGTGTAATGACTCGCCGCCTGGCTTTCTGATTGGTCGGGTAGCTGGCCAATCAGGATGTGAGTCAGCTTACTGCGCCCGGCTTCCTGATTGGCCAGAAAACCGGGTTCATGGAGATGGCTCCCCTGCTAATCGGGAAGCCTGGTGGCGAGTCTATACACGCCGCCCGGCTTCCCGGGTAATCAGGAAGCCAGGTGGCGAGTCCTTACACGCCGCCTGGCTTCCTTAATGGGACTTTCGGTATCGTGAGTACCGAGAAAAAAATATCGGTACTCTACCGAAAAAACGGTATCGGTGCATCCCTATAAATTATTATGACACTAAATTCCTCATTGCTTGTGTTTCTTATTATAATAATCTACCTTCTATATATTTTTATAATGCAATAATTCTAAAACATGAATTCCCAGTGATTTTAAATAAATATAAAACATCAGGTGTGGGGTTTGTTTGATCCCAAGGGATTGAACCTTTAACTTGCTAAACCATGTGTCCTAGACTAGACTTTGTCATTTGCCCGACATTGGCTTTCTTCTAGAGCTGCAGTTAATCGATTTAGTCGATTAAAATCGACGATTGAAAACGTTACCAACGTTTTCGATCGTCGATTCGTCGGCTATCGATTGATTTCCCTGTTCGGGGCTCTACACGCGGCCTGAAGCATACGCTGCTCACGTCCCGCTGCTTTTTTTTTAACAAGTAGTCCATCTCTGGAGCTTTTTTTTTTTTTTTTTTATCCGATTAATCGAACTTAATAATCGGCCAACTAATCGATTATGAAAATAATCGTTATCTGCAGCCCTACTTTCTTCAGTGCTTATAACAGTAGAGCTGAAACTTTGTAAAGTGAGAACCCAGCTTGTGATTGTTGCATTCCATCCTTTTGCATGGCACGTCTGCAACGTAGGGTCTGGTGATGAATCTAAAATGACCACCCCAAGAGTTGAATCTTACACATGCCAACTTATGGAGAGACAGGCCACTGCAGGGTACTGTACGTTTTCACAGATGGAATATACTATCTGCTCAAGTACACCACTAGGTGTCCCTCCCCAATAATCACACTCTTTAAAACTAGGATATTTACTTTAGCCATGTGACTGTTGCATTAATGCCACACTCTGGGCAGAATGATAGTGTACACCTCCCCCGCATAGAATGCCCAGCTTCTGGGCAATGAAGAGAAGGAGCAAAGCGACCCATGCTGTACAGCGCTCGAGTGGCATCACCCATCCCTTTTCACTATCTTCTATTCAGAAAACGTCTTGCATTTTTATTAAATAATACAGCACATCCTGTGATGAGATGAGGGGTGGGAATGTGACATCCTTCTGCCCAGAGTGTGGCTTTAAAATCCTTTTTTATTTTTTTAATGAAGATACTCTCCTGGTTTGTTTGCTTTGTAAATTGAGCCTAATTTAATTCCTCTAGGCCTACAGTACATTACTTTTGGGCTTGACATAGGCCTCACTTTGCTGATGCAATCTAGCAGCGCTTGCACCTTGGGCACGTGACTTTCTCTGATGAGGTCTACATCTCCATGTGGACAGTGTTTTTGATGGTAAACTGGCAACTTTGTTTTTCTGCACTAGTTTACGAGACCCATTAAACTCTGCAAAAACCCAGGAAGTAAGAGTGGGGGTGGAGCACACTTACTCTTTCCTTTATATGTATAGACATTATGAATTGAGTATATTAAAAATGGAATTTTATTATATATATGAATCAATTGACTTTATTGTTGGATCAATTCCCTGCTATTCTCCAGTGGTCACCACAAAGCCCCTTTCTTTCTCTCCCCCTTTTTTTTATATATATTGCATATATAGGGGTGGTGTCCCAGTTTGTGTGATGGTTCCTAATTTTTGTATTACAATTGAGATTTATCTGTAATGTTATTTTGGGATGGGGAAATGGCTCATGTTAACAGTCTACACTGGTGCTGCTTTAGAAGTCGGCTAAGATCACAAGGAAACTTTAAGAATTGGCATGATGGAAATGTGAATTGCATATTTTGTTGACCTATGATCCAGTCAGTACCAAATTATTACGTTTTGGATTGGGTTTTTTTGGTTTCTAACCTCATTGAAATGTTGTATTTTTGCAGAGGATGAAGACTTCAGTGTTTTACTGAGGGCACTACAAGGTATGTTGTTTTTGGCTTATATGTTTTATATATTACTTTACTTGCATCCACTCACTTCCAATTACTTGATCGGTCAACTGCTGGGAGAAACCGAAAGCCAATCACACTGGATTAAATTCCATTTCATAGCTAGCTGCAGACTAAAAAGTCTTCTTTGCTCGGTACAGAAGCACTGTGACAGGGCCAAGCGACTTCCTCAGTCAGTCAGGGCTCTGTTGCCTTTGCACAGGTTTGCTTCAAGGTAGAGAAAGCACAGTGATGACATAATTTTGCTTTTTGAATATTAGACTAAACGCCATGTTTGGTGTAAGTTGAACACTGCACATCATGATAAAGACACCATCCCCCCACTGTGAAGCATGCTGGTGGAAGCAGCATCATTATTATGGAATGTTTCTCTATAGCAGGCTCTGTAAGGCTTCTGAGGGTATAATGAATAAACCAAAATGCAGGGTATGTCTGGAGAAAAACCTGATCCGGCATGCAGGAAACCTGAGCCTTGGGCGAATTATTTATTTGTTTTCCCCCCTCGGCAAGACAATGATCTCAAGCATAAATCAAAAAGCACAATTCTGGAATGGCCAAATCAGCCCAAAAAAAACAACTTATGTCTAGGTTTGAAATTGACTTTTAACTTTGACATGAATAGGTCTATTTCTGTTGATCAGTTAAAAAAAAAAGGCTTGTGATTCATTGCTGTATGACAGTAAAACATGAAAAAATCCACGGGGTTGAATGTTTTTGAAAGTTACTGTATTAAATGTTTATCTGAGTTTCTTTTACATGTTGTGTTTTTATTTTTTTTTTGTATTGGGTATTTTTGTTTGTTTCTGTGTTTGTCTATAGTAACTCTTCTGCTTTTAACGTTTTCTGTTTCCTTTTGTTTTTATAGACTATGACGAGTTCATCAGAAATGGAATCATTCTTCCTTCGCTTGTTTGTGTTATTACAGGTAACAATCTCTTTTAACCCTTTTGCTGCCTTAGCTTTTTTTTTCTTTTTTTCAATTTTTGCAAACATGGTGGGATGTGCATTTTAGGCCTGAAGATTACTTAAATCCCTATAGAGACCCTGTAGAATAGTAAAATGGTGACAGTTATCACACAATAATTGTGCTACTTTTTATCAAATCTATATTTTTCAGTAAAAGATCACTCAAATTAATTTTATTGCACACAAAACTCTCTTTTTTTTTTTAGTAACAAAATAAGAGGTTGCACTGAGTAAATGAATATCAAATATGTCAAGCCTCAAAATTGTGCACACCCGTGTAATGGCTGAAAACTATGGTACATTAAATATTCCTTAGGTGATGCTTTAACCACTTGCTGACCGGGATGTTTCATACCCCCTTCCTGTCCAGGCCATTTTTCAGTATTCAGCGCTGCGGTACTTTGACATTTATTCCGTCATGCAACGCTGTACTGAAATTAATTTTATACCATTTTTTTGGGGGACAGATAGAGCTTTCTTTTGGTGGTATTTAATCACCACTACGGGTTTTTTTTTTTTTACTATATAATGAAAAAAGTACCGAAAATTTTTAAACAAAAACCTGTTCTTCCTACGTTATGTTAAACATTTATTATTACCCAATTTTTTGTTAAAATATAAAAGATATCACGTCGGGTAAATAGACACAAAACATGTCAAGCTTTAAAATTGCGCGCACCCGCTAAATCGCGAAAAACTACCATACCCAAAATTGACCAGAGCCAATGCTTTAAAAGCTTTTACCCCTCATTAGTTTAGTGTCATCAGTGATTGATGGCCCTAGAATTATTGCTCTCACTCCGACTTTCACGGCGATATGTAACGTGCGGCGCAATGGGTGTAATCGTCGTTTTCGCACGTAGGCGGACGCGACACATGATTGCGTGAGCATGTGGGGGCGGGGGACTTTAATTTTTTTTTATTATTATTGCTTTGATATGTGACTTAATTTTTTTTTTTAAATGTGTAACTAATTTTTTTTTCCACTTAACTTTATTGCTATCACATAGGGAGCAAACAAGCTCCCTATGTGATATCCAATTTGCAGTGACAGGTCCTCTTTATGGAGACATCAGGGGTCTTTATGACCCCTAATGTCACCTAGGGAGAGTGACACTGAATGCAGGAAGTGATGTAATACACATCACTTCCTGCATTCTGACGAGGAGGAGATCAAACGGAGATCGTGTATTGAGCTCCGTTTGATCTCCGGCCACAGAGCTGCTGTGCTGGTCCCGGGCTCACACTGGGAACAGCGGAGCTCGGGATCGCCGGCGGAGGGGGGGGGGCTGCACACCCGCACGCAATTACAAGCGATCGGGCGTCTCTACAGACGCCTGAACGCTTGCATGTAAACAGCCATCGCTGGCTGTTTACATTGAAAGCCGGTTTCCCGTTTGTGCGCGCCACCTAGTGGCCGCCACGAGCGGGATGGGACGTTCAAAAACGCCCACCCGCATTCAAAAAGCCGCTGTCCGGCTGTTTAATTACAACGGCCGGACAGCAGGTGGTTAAAAGTCTGCACACTGGAAGGAGTGGTTACTTCACAGACCGAGACTAGTTTTCAGTAAAAATATAAATTATATAATATGATAATTGGTCTGAGGGTTAACATCTTTTCCCAATCACGATTCAGTCCTGAGGTTGCAGTTTTATATTCACTGGGTGACTTAAAATGATTCAATATTCCTAGTGTGAAGAGGGTTGTCCTAGATACATAGTATCTGTTTGGTCATTCATGAAGTCAAGATCTTTAAAGTCAGTATAGCCAATGAAAGGCTCTGACGAAGCCCCGGTGGGTGGGGTGAAACACGTCGGCCGCAGTATGCTTGACTTACCCGATGTGTGACCCACATACACGTCAGCTCCCTTAAAGAATTTTCCTTGAATGACGGTGATGAGAAGGCAGCCCCCTTTACCATCCCTGAACACCGCATAACCACCACTCGAGCACCCTGAAACCATCATGTACTGCGACTAAAATATATACACTAGCAGTGAACAACAGGACTTCGAAAACACGGCGGAGAACCTGGATTGAGACACCCAATCGTGAGTACAGCTGATAATGAAAAGACTTTGGAGTAATACTGTACATGTCTCCCCCTTAAGCATTTGATATCAAGCTGACATGATGTCAGGATAAGAGTGGTGTTTCCGGATGGTCTATATCTCTGGGCTTGCGATAGATCTATTACTCCGGTTGATTTGAATATAAATATTGCTCACAATTTGAGCACATTTATCCCTTGGCAGTAATTGAACCTATTTATTACTGACTTTAAAGAACTTGACTTCATGAATGACCAAACAGATACTATGTATCTACGATAACGCTCTTCACACTAGGAATATTGAATCATTTTAAGTCACCCAGTGAATATAAAACTGCAACCTCAGGACTGAATCGTGATTGGGAAAAGATGTTAACCCTCAGACCAATTATCACCTTCTGGAAACTTAGGGAAGCCGTCACTGCCGTAGAATGTGTGGGGCCCATGGTATGAATGATTGAGTGTTATGAACAACATTGTCTTTTTAAAGAGGAGTTTGAAGAAGCACACTGATGGTATTAGAATTTTTTGTACATCAATAAAGTTTATATTTTTACTGAAAATTAATCTCGGTCTGTGAAGTAACCACTCCTTCCAGTAATCTCTTTCCTGGAAGACCCCCTCCTTCCTTATATGCAAATTGGTTACAAGACCTAGATGACTGGTAGAAATTATATATAATAGGAGTATATCTAGTGGTTTTAGATCTCCAGAAATACCGCCCCTTTTTTTGTCAAGTCTGCACACCTTCATCTGCATAGAGAATCTGCACACCTTCATCTGCATAGAGAATCACTTCTGCAAGAAAATTGGCAGCTGGAAGAAAAAATGTAAACAACCTCCTCGTTGCTGTAGCTGCCGGGAGTTTGGTCACATGCCAGTGCTGCCATCAATGTAATAGTTAAGTCGGTGGCACCGAAAAGGGTTAAAGTGATCTTGAAGTGGAAATAAGCGCCTAACCCATTCTTGCAACCCATACCAGGAACCTACAGGTGGCTGAGTGGCATGTATAGGCTCCCCCAAGTCCTTGGACTTTCTCATATGAACATACCAACCCAGCTTTCTGGGTTGAGCTGCTGACCCTTCCTCTTCTTGCTTTGCAAGACTCACTATTGGCTACTCAGCCTAGAACAGTGATGGCCCAAGTCTTTAGAGGATCTTGGGGCTTGTTCACACCAACTCCAGTGCATTCTGGCCTGATTGGTGCCAGAACCCACTGGACCGCATTCCAGCCAGCTCACTTGGTTTTGAGACTGGAGAGGGCGAGGCGGTGCAGTGAAGTTAATGGCACTGCAGCCACGCCCTCCGGCCACAGTGCGATCGCCCGCACCGGAACGTGTGGCACACGAGTGCCACGTGTTCTGTTGTGGTCAGAAAAAATTGTGCATGCAGCATTTTTATTTTATTTTTTTTCTAGCATGTAAAATTTTTATTATTTGAAGTATAATAATACATACATGGAGAAAAGTATCTCCGGGAGATAAATAGCCAGACAACATTCCAAATAACATCAGGGTTATAGAGGCTACGGCTTTCAGTCTCCAGGGTATATGGTAACAACAATGAGTAAACATCAATCCATGTGTACAGTCAAAACATTGAACATTGATTTAAACATAAATCATGTATAGAGAGCAATAAAAAACACATTCTTCCCCAGGACAAATGTATGGAACTAGAGGGGTTAGGTGGTACTCAGGGACGTACTGAGGGTTAATATAAGCAGGTTTATGTAAGAGATGTGAGGGTTCGCAGGAAATGGGTAGCTGGTATGATGATGAAGAATATGTGGATGAATGGGGAGTATGGTGGGTGGGTCAAAGAACATCAAGGTGCCAGTCAGTTTGGCTTCAAGGTACCATTTGGACAGTCGTAATATGGACATCAAGTCTATCAATTGGGCAGGTGACAATTCAGCTAAAATGAAAGATTTCCAAGTGTCAAAACATTTCTGGGTAAAGGTCTGGGTAAATCTGGTGTCGAGTTTATCCAACCACATTAATCGGAGTAATAGTGCCTGAAAGGAAATGATCGTGGGGGTATCAGGTAGTATCCAGTTACTCAGAATTGTCTTTTTGGCCGTCAGCATGCATAAATGTTCCCAACGTGTCTGAGCGTTTGATACACTGTCAGTGTTTGAGAGGAAGGCATGAAGTAGGCATAGGGCCGGGGACAAGAGGGACTTTCTTTCTCCCAGAGTGCATATCCATAAAGTTAAGGACATTTATCCAAAATGATTGTATAGTAGGGCAGGACCATAATAAATGTGTTAGGTCGGGCAGGAGGAGAGAGCATTTAGGGCAGGCGGTCAACCAGACGGAGGAGCCCTGTCTGACAGGGATGTTAAACGAGTGGTATGCACTGTGGGCATTTTTGAGGTATATCTCCCGCCATGATTCACATATAGTAGCTTTTCTGACCTGTAGCCAGCCACGCTCAATAAGAGATGCCGCGTCCTCTATGGTGACGTGTAAAAAATCCACCCATCTGCGAAAATGGGATGGTGTATGGGTCGAGATGCCGTCAGTGCAGTTTGTGAGGGCTTGTGTGAGGGAGGAGATTGAGATTCTAGTGGTGGGGGAGGAGAGGAACGGGGCTATAGGTGAATGAACGACTTCCGCCCACGGTGTGGTGATATGATGAGATATGAAATGTCTAATCTGATTGTATTGGAAGTTGTCGGTGACAGGGAGGCGATATTGAAATCTGAGTTCATGGAAAGTTTTACAGTTACCTTGAGGGGTAAATAGATCTCGAAGCGTTGTCATACCCTTCTTACCCCAAGAGCGAAATACCCTAGAGTCGGATCCCGCTTTAAAAACAGGGGAGGAACTTATGGGCATTAGCAGTGAGAGTACTTTAGGGATGTGTATGAGCTTCCTAGTCTCTCTCCATGCCAATACCGTATCCCTAAATAGGATGTTATTTTTAATAATGGGGGGAATTAAAGGAGAACTATGACATGAGTGATTTCCACTCACCTCATAGTTCTAAGCCGACCTGTGACAATGAGACTGTCACAGGTCGGCTCAGTAGATCGGGAGGTGAGCGAACACATACTGGGTTCCCTCACCTCTCGATCCTGTCATGGCTCTCTGCCGTGACAGGTGAGGGGCTGGATTCCCCTCTCCCCGCTCCGATCTGCCAGCGCTGACTGGCGGAACGGACGTGGGAGGGGGCGGGTACAGCTGGCTCTGCCTCTAGATAGGCAGAGCCAGCTGTCACTCGCGCAGCTGGGCGGATCCGTCATCTAAGTCGGGATCCGCTCCAGGTGCGGCGTCTCAGTATACCGCGAGCTGTAGCTCGCGGTATACTGAGCTTAGGGTAACGGGAGGACGCTAGTTTGTGTCCTCCCGTTACCCCAAGGAGAACTATGGGGAAAAACACTGACCCCATAGTTCTCCTTTTTAAGGATATAGGAGTGTGTAATATTCCCGAGAGGGACCATGGTGCAACCAGGTGATTCTCTAGTGGGATGTCAGTATAATAGGAGGTATCGTGTAGACAGTCCCTTACATGGCGGAAAAGGCTGGCTAGATTGTAAAATCGGAGGTTGGGTAGGTTAGTTCCCATGCATCGAGAAGGTTGTTGTAGTTTCTTTAGGGCCACCCTTTGTTTTTTTCCTCGCCATATAAAAGTTGAAAACGCTTTGTGTAAGAAGGTAATATCTTTGTGTTTAAGAAGAAGCAGCAAAGTTTGGAGGGGATAAAGTAACCTAGCGAAACTGACCATTTTGATCAAGGGGCATCTGCCTAGGAGAGAGATGGGATAATCTTGCCAAGTTTTTAATTCTTGTGACACCTTTTGGATGATGGGTTTGTAGTTAAGGGAATATCCCTGGTCGAACGTGGGATGCAGATACCTAGGTATGTCAGGTATTTTTTTTGGATCTGCAGAGAGGGATGGGCAGAAGAAAGGGCCTGCAAAAAGGATTGGTCCTGATTTCACTTTTATCTACATTGATCTTCAGGCCAGAGAAGGAACCATAAATCTCTATGTGATTTAGGATGAGTGGTAGTTGGGTCAATGGGTCAGATAAAAATAACAGTATGTCATCAGCAAACATGGCTAATTTGATATTAAAAGGACCAGATTAATAGCCGATAAATTAGTAGAGGTGAGGGAGCGGGACAACAGTTCTATGGCAATATTAAACAATAGCGGGGAGAGGGGGTATCCCTGACGAGTGCCGGAATATATCTGCGCAGAAGGAGAGCTATGCATAGTAAGGATGTAATTTAGAAACGTGCCAGAGAAAAGAAACTGTTTCAATACCAATTGAAGCCAGGACCAATTCACGTTGTCGAAGGCCTTCTCCGCATCCAACGCCAATAGTACCAATGGGTGAGGAGAAGGGCCCGACAAGAGCAGTAATAATTTTTCGTATGTTTAGCACGGCAGAACGACCTTTCACGAAACCAGCTTAATCTGGTGATATGAGAGAAGGCAGCACGACGGCCAATCTATTAGCCAGAATCTTGGACAGTGACTTGGCATCAAAATTTAGGAGTGATATAGGACGATAGGATCCCGGAAGGGTCGGATCCTTACCTTTTTTGGGTATCAAACGAACTTACGCTGCACTAAATGTTTCCGGGTAGCATTTATTTTGTAAGATATAGTTGAAGAGGTCAACTAGGGAGGGAGAGATGTGGTCACTCACAGACTTATAAAATTCGGCCTGGAGCCTTAAGCTGCCCACACACCTTACAATTTATCTGCAGATTTTCTGTGGTCAGATGGAAAAGGTGCAACAGATTCCTCCATCTACACTTAACTGTGTGGATGGAGGAATCTCCATCTGGGCCAATCTGTTGCACTTTTTCCATCTGACCACAGAAAATCTGCAGATAAATTGTAAGGTGTGTGGGCAGCTTTAGAATTAGCTGAGAGTTTAATCGTTGATTGCACCTCTTGTAGAGGTATGTCTGCGTTTAGGGCCTCCATGTCAGTTGGGGAGAGGGAGGGCAAAGTAATCGTATCAAGGAAAGACGATCCCAGGGGGATATTATCTACACCCGCTGAGTACAGGGACTGATAGTAATCTTTAAAAATCTCACAGACTTTGGTTGGGTCCGAGGAAGAGATTCCAGTTGAATCGAGCAGGCTGAGTATATGATCTGGGGTAGTTCTCCCTCGGACCAAATTTGCTAATAATTTCCCTGATTTATTTCCGAATTTAAAATATTCTAGTTCTTTTATGGGAGCGAATTTGGAGATCGTATTGCGATATCCAGTGGTCACAGGTTAGCTTGGGCTGGATCCATAGGGTTCTGTTTTGGGGGCTATTATTTTGTTTTTATGATATATATGCCTCTCTGGCCGTCGTGCATGCCTTGACATACCTTTTGTCTCGTTAACTTCTTTTGAGAGGTGGCATAAGCCAGCACCTTGCCTCGCAGAACCGCCTTTGCCGCCTCCCAAAATAAAACAGGTGTATCCACATGTAGAGCATTGTTATGTGCATAATCAGTCCACCAAGAGATTAGTTGACTTTGGAAGGTGTCATCGAAGGCCAGGTAGGAGGGGAAGCGGACACAAAGGACGTGTGGATTGTCTCAGATCATGCAGAGATAATAACATTGGGGAGGGGTCGCATGCAGCATTTTTTATGACCGGACTGGAACGCAGGCACTGATGTGCCACGCATTTCGGTGCGGATGATCACACTACATCCTGAGGGTGTGGCTGCGGTGCCATTGACTTCAATGCATCGCCAAGCCCACTCCCACCCCAAAACAAAGTGAGCCGACCGGAATGCGATCCAATACCTTCTGGCACCAATTGGGCTGGAACGCACTGGGGCTGGTGTGAACTACCCCTTAAGGTAGAACTAAACCCTGCTTGGATTACATTATAGGGTGTATTTTTTTAAAAGGAATTGATCTGGACCTCATGTGAATGAGTGACACATTAACATATGGCTACAACTGGGAGACAGTTGTCACCCCATATCAGGAAGTACCTGGATAAGGACCTTCTTCATGGCAGGATTATAAAATATTATTTTCATAATGGCTGCATGTTAAAAAGATTAAAACAATATTTGAAACTACAATAACATTTAAAGCTTGCGGGAGTAAGCTTTAGTTTTAGTGTTTGGGTTTACATCTACTATAGAGAAAGAAGGGTTTTTAGGCATGCAGAAATGATGTTACTGCTCTCTGGCACCGCAGCTTCTCATGGAGCACATAAATACACTTACTTTGGCCTATTTGTTTTTGGTTTGTGTTTAACATTATAAATAGCAGAAAGGGGGAGCATAATGTCACATAAACATACTGCTATCATTGATTTTAGGGATGCATCGAACTGTAGTCCAAAAATGGCACTTTTGGCAAAATGCCGAAAGTACCATCTGTTGGCCGAAATAACGGTGCATCCCTGCTTTCTCTCCTTCCCACTTGGCGCTGCTCTGACACAGCGCAGCGTCCAGCAGGGAGGAGAGAAACTGTCACAGGAGGCCGAGCAGTGCCGGGGCGGAGAGTGCTGTGAGTGGCTGGCGTCTCGCCTCCAGCACCGCTCAGCCTCCTGTCACAGATCAGGAGAGCGGTGTGTGGGCGAAGTCAGCTGAGCTCTACTCCCGCCCAGCCTCCTGTGACAAATGAGAGCAGCGGTGTAGACAGCTTTAAGCTGTCGCAGGAGGCCGGGCTGGTGGTGCGGGGCCGGAGTTAGCTGTCACAGCAGACCAAGCTCGCTCAGCCTCCTGTGACAGCAAGTCGGGAAGGAGAGCGGGTACAAGCTCTCAGTGATTGCTGGCTGTAAATAATTAACCACCTTGCGTCCATGGCCGTTTGTGAACGGACGGAAGTCTGCTAGGAGCGGGAGGGCGTCTTAAGACGTCCTGCCCCTCCCCCCTCTCGTGTGCGACACTCAGCGCACACACGAGAGGGGAAACCGTGAGCATGTAAACAGCCAGCGATGGCTGTTTACATACAAGCGATCAGGCGTCTCTAGAGACGCCCGATCGCTTGCAGGAGCTGCCGCTGTCGGTCCGTGATGTATGAAATTCGTATCAGTACAGCGTTGCATGACGGAATAAACGTCAGTCAAAGTACTGCAGCGCTGAACACTGAAAAATGGCCTGGCCAGGAAGGGGGTCAGGAAGTGTGTTTACTGACACAGTGACACTCCCAATTATGAATGAGAGTGATCTACATCACTTCCTGTTCAGTCATGATTGTAGACATGGTAAACATACTATCTCCACAATGTATGAATGGACAGGAACACTCCATATAGAGGTTTCCTGTTCATTTATAACAGGGGCTGCAGGAAAAGAGACTGAGGACTCTGTGTTCTCAATCTCTTTTTCTATTTTAAAAGGGTTTATACCCCTAATATTTCCCTGAAGCCCCTAAAAGTAAAGTTAAAAAAAATATTAAAATAATCAAAAAGTTTATAAATCAAAAAAAATTAAGGTTAGGAAAAAAAAAAACATTTTTGGTTTCGGCCTGACATTTTTTTTTCATTTCAGTTTCGCTACGGTTTTGAAGTTTTCATTTCTGTGCACCTCTAATTGATTTATTTGGGAGAAATGGTAATAATGGATAGAATAGGTATCAGACCCTCTATGGTTCAGGAAACATTCCATTTTTTTGTTGGGTGGTCTGTAAAGAAGGAATTCTAAAATAAAAGGCTAGGCATACTGTATGTTGCCTCCTGTAGCAGATTATTGCATCAGATTTTACTTGCATGAAACACGGGTTGGAGTGTGCAGAAAAGTGTTTTATCATTTAGTTGTGTTTAGGGAAGTGTGATGTAGTAATATTTCCAATTGCAATTTGGCCATGCTGCAATCATCTTTTTGCTATCTACTTTCAGGGAAAGGTCCTTTGAAGGAATATTACTGTAATTTGATGAAAGAGCTGCACCTGCACAACATCCAGATCTGTACACCATGGTTGGAAGCTGAAGACTATCCTGTTTTACTTGGTAAGGCAAACCGTTTTGTTGTTTACATTCCCTGGTGTCTGTTTTACTATATAATGCTATTATTTTAATTCATTAGGAAATGGTGTGTTTAAAATGTGCTCCTAAAATGGTTTTAATTACCCTATTGAATATGAAAAGGTTGTGTGCCTAGAATGCATGTCAATGCACATCAACAAGATGCAGATTAATTTGTTATGCTGTGAAAAAGCTTTGTTCCAAATTTGTGAAAGGTTTAAAGGGCCAGTTCACCCAAAATTGGTATTTCGGTTCTCACTTTTTGGGTAACAAAGGCATCGCAAAAGCAAACTTAAGCCAATAGGCTTCACTTATTACTATAATATAGTACGTAGGGATGTCCCGATACCATTTTTTCAAGAACAAGTACTTTCCCTCAGGTACTTGCCATTACCGATACATTTTCTTAACACTACATGTGACATTAAAAAAAAATACAATACAAATGATTTTAGGGCAGTTGATTATAATTATGAAGAACTGTAACTCAATCCATGATTATGGATCATGATACAAAAAATAATTTTAACCAAGACCGTTGCTTAGAAGCACTTCTGATTGCTCATTGCGGTCACCTGACTGCACTGACCAACGAATTCCGACTGAAATTCAAAATCCATAGCATAGGGCTGCACTGGACAGCAGTATGGGGTACATATAGTACACCCGTAGCGGAGGAGGGGAAGGACTGTTCACCAAAGTATAGCGGGGGGGAAGAGAGTCGACCAGATTTAAGTGGGTAATTACTTAAAGTGGCAAATTACTTGGTAAAGTGAACTTACCCTTTAATCTGCATTGTGCGTGTTAGAGAGTGCTCCTGCCCCACTACCACAATATGGCACACAGTGGAATGAGTGCACACACAATGCCATACTCATGCGTTATTATTTTGATTATTATTCATGCGTTTATTATTTTGTATTTTTTTTAATTTATTTTTTTTACTTCACTTTATTGATATCAGACAGGGGATAACGAGCCCCTAGGTGACAGGCTCTCTTTATGAGCCTGCCCTCCAATACAGAAGATACAGCACAGTGCTGTATCTTCTGTACAGCTCAGTTTGTGATAGATGACACGGGAAACGCAGTGAATACAGTGCTCCTGTGTCACTGAGCGGAGAACGTCTGTTCTCCGCTCTGCAGAAAAGCGGGGGAGCCCCAAAACCATGGGGGGTCGGACCTTGGAGGGCATGGGTGGACCTGGGAAGGGAAGGGAGGTGCCGGTGGGGGGGGGGAACGGAGAAGCAGGCTACTTTCCGGGCGGATCACTTGTACAAACAGCCTGAACGTTCTTCAAAATGTAATGTGACGACGCTATGTATCGGGGCATTTTTTCGCGTACAAGTACTCATGTACCCGGTATCGGCCACGCTACTAGTAGTCAGTATAGGGACATCCCTAATAGGAAGTATTGCTATTTGGTGGACTGACCCTTTTAATGTTTGGTGTTAACTTTGTAACATAATTATTAAGAGTATTTAATCTGTTAAATGTGGGATAGTCCCCCCCTATATCTTCCGGGACAGCAACCTAAGAGTGTACAAAGCAACGTTTGTTGTTTTATCCTGACTGGATACCTGTTTGCTTTGCTGTTTTATCTAGAGGATGCACCATTTGGATTCTAGGATCTTGTCCCCCGCTTTTTTCTTTAGGGGGATGCCCCCTGGCTGATGCCCTATCCTCTCTCCCTCCTAGGAGTTGGTAGCATGTCTTGGCGGTGGAGATGCTGAGTGTGCATTTGGTCGACTGGGGACGGCACAGTGCATTCCAGGCCTCGCTCTGGGATGTATGGCATCACTTCCGGAGGTTTGGTTCTGTGGTAATGCCTCTTCCCGTTCTGGGTTCCGCAGTAATGTCACTTCCGGTTGATGCCATGGAGTTCTTTACGGCCACCACTGCTTGAATCCAGAGCCAGGACAGTGTGGGGAGAATGCTGCTACCGCCATGGAGCAGGAAGGCAGACCAGCGGGGACTGTGGCCAGCGCTAAAGGCGTGGTGATTACCTTGGCATCTGACTCTGGATGTATTGCTTATGTGGTCCTATTGTTTATTGGACAGTCCTTTTTTCTGGGTGATTAGTTGGCTTTCTTGCTGATTTAAGGATAGCCTGGTCCCTGAAGAGACTAGCACCCAGAATCTGTTACTTTCTATTGTCCCAGCCTCTAAACAGATTAAGTGTTGCGGCAATTGTAATGGTAAGCTGCCGCCTTCTTGTCAGAAGCCGTTTTGTGATACTTGTATTCATATACTGATGGCTAGTGAATATTCAAATTTTATAAAGGGCTTTTCTTTTCTTTTTTTTTTTTTTT